CGTCAACCTCAACAGAACTGCAAATACAACCAACAAAAACCATCCCAAAATGATTTATAATGATCTGGTATTGCTTGAACCAGGCATATTTGAGGGAAGAAACACCACATCCACGTCGTAGCATGCAGAGCAGCGCGCACAATGCTGTCGCAGCGACGACGACTGGAGCGGTGAGTCTCGCGCAGCGCTGCTACTACAGCGGCGTTGAACAATCAGACGTGCTAGTATTCTTCTCCGGCACATTGCTGTTCCTAAAGTTCTTAAAACCACTGGCTTCGGTGGAATTGCCACTTATTGAGCCACTACTTCCAGCTGAAAGCGAGACGGCGGAGAAGAGAGACGGTGGAGAGAGGGAGAAATGATGAAACAGATCTAGGGCTTGGCCTTCCTTACGCCGGCGCCGTAAATAGATCTACGGCTTGGCCTTCCTCACGCTGGCCTCGTCGCCATCCTCACCGTGAGTCAGCCGGCGTTCATGAGAGAGGTGAGAGAGAAACTGAGATAAGAGAGTGAGAGAAGAATTGAAATTATTAGGGTTTGTAATTAAATTGGGTGGATAATGTTTAATTTATAGATATCTGATTTTTGAATTCTAATATTCAAATACTTGGAATTATGTAATTTTCACTATTCCATTTTGGACCCTTTGTGGACTTGTTTTAGTAAGAATTTTTTTTCACCATTCTTCAAGTTCAGTAATTAATGTGGAAATTACATTAACTCATTTTTATTTACTTCCAAATTCAAAAAAAAGTTTAAAAGTTTTTTGTTTAAAAATTAGGTGATAATTCATCTCTTAAAGTATTAATATTAGAATTGTAAAATTAAATTAATCCACCATGTCTCATCCCACCTCACATAGGGGTGGCAAGGAGTCGAGCTGAGCCACGAGCTGAAATTTGAAGCTCGGGCTCTACTCGAGCAAAACGGGTTCGGGTTTTTTTTTCTGTCGGAGTCGAGCCGAGCAAAAGTTTGAAAAAAAATCTAAGGCTCGGCTCGGGCTTTTGCTTGGGCATCATACGGCTGGTCAATTTTTTTTAAATTTTTTATATATAACATGTGCTGGCTTTAAATAGTAGCTGCCACTTCCCTCCTTCCATCTCAATTTTTTTTTTTAATTTTTACATGGGCCCTATGGGCCTACTCGGCTCGGCTTGATTCCCCAAACTTGGGCTCGACCAGAGCTTCGGCTCGGTTCTATCGAGCCTCGGGTCGGCTGGCTCGAGCTTTCCCCGAGTCGACGAGTCAAATCGACATACCTAACCTTGCCTAATCCAACCCAATTTCATCGTAAACCCTAAAAACCATTTCCCACCCCTATCTCTTTACCTACCTACCCTTCACTAATTTGATGCGGTAGTGGCACCTCATTGCACTCTGCGGAGCCTGCTATTGCACGCTGGGGTGCCTTACTAATGGGAGCACTATTGCGAATAGCAAAGCTCAATGGTGTTGGGAATTTTTTGATCTAATGTGCTGTGGGTGGTTTGTTGGTGGATGATTTTCTGATTAGATCTACTGTTTAGTATGAGTTTTTGGATTGTGGAGGTGGTGGTGCAGGTAGTGGACGTAGTGGTCATGGTGGTGCTAACGATGGTTGTGAGGTGGCTTGGCGTTCGATTGGTGTCGGTAGTTGAGTGGGTTTGGTTTTGAACGATTGTGACTAATAAATTGGTTAATTTGTGAACAATAAATAATGTGCCATAAAAATGTGCAATTGTTGTGTTGGAGTGGGGGTACAATTTTGGGTTTGATTGTGACAAATAATTTGGGTTATATTGTGACCAATAAATAATATTGACATTAAAAAAATGTGAGATTACGATTAAATTTGTAATCGTGACTCTCAATTTGATCATAGGTCACTGTGCATATGTCACATATCACTAATTTATGTTCACAGCTCATAGTTCATATTGTATAGGCCATATATCACTATCAACATGTCACAAATCAAAATTAACAATTTAACGATCAGATATCACATGTCTTTGTACACTAATAATAGGTCACAGATCAAGTTCACATGTTACAGGTCATAGTAACAACTCACATGTCATAGGTTATATTGCATAGGTAACAATTCAATGTATACATGTCACAGATTTAAGAGAATTGGTCACTGGTCATTGAATCAATATCTACAGGTCACAAATTTAAGAGAACTGGTTACAGGTCGTTGGACCAATATCACATGCAACAGTTTACAAGTCACATATAAACTGTTCACTCTTTCTAATTCAAGCGATTGAACTACGTCTTTAACAAATGAAATAGCAA